TCAGCAGACCAGTGACCCTCAGTAAACTTCGTCAGAGCACGTCCCCCTCTGCTCAGAGCCCCGAGCGGCTCCCCACGTCAGTCCCAGTGAGGCTGGTGCCTACCACGGCCGAAAGGCCACAGGGACGTGGCTTCTGCTCACACCCTTCCCCCACTGGCTCTCTGGCCTGCTCCCCACCCTCAGCCCCGCTCACCCCACCCCTGCCTCACCAGCCTCCTTGTCCGGACACGAGAGGCAGCTCCCATCCCAGGGCCCTGCTTTCGCTGCTGCCAAGAAAGCCTGACCTCTAGAAACACGTCTGGCCACTTTGTCCCTCCCTCAGGTCGCTGCCCAGAGCTCCCTGCTGGGTGGCTGGAGCCCGCTTAGAAGAGCACCCCCTTGCACACCCACACACTCTGCCATGTCAGCCCACCCAGCTCCACTTGCCTTTTCTCCGCTGCACTGACCGATCGCAGCACAGACTCCACCTGCCGTGTTCAGTGGCTGCCCTCTGCCTGCCCCTCTGGGGCGCGCCCCACGGCAGCCACACTGCCACTGGGTTCACCCGCGCCGTGGAGAGGCAGGAGCAACCGTGTACAAGACCTAAATCAGTGAAGGGCGGGCACATCCACAGCCAGAAATACAGTTGGTCGTTAAAAACAACACACTCCAGCCAGAAAGAGCACTTGGAGGGATTTCCACCAGATACTGTTAGGTGAGAAATGCCAGAGGATGAGATGAGTTTACTCTTGTCACCTGTTGGTAGAATAATGCTTCCAAAGTGTTTGAGTAGGTGGCTGCATTAGGTACGCGAGCATAGAAACAGCACTTTATCCGCACAGAGAGAAAGGGCAGGGTTGTGTCAGTGAAAAGGATGTCCGGGGGAGCTGAGTTCCAATTCTGACTGATTCGCTTACTATTGATATAGCCTTCCTCAAACGAGGGCAATAATCAGCCCACTGCAGGCTGTGTAAGCAGCCAGTGACTGTCCTCTGTCACTCACCCTCTGTCACTAGCAGCCAGCCCAGTGCCTAACAAGTCCAGGGGCTCCGTAAATATTTGTTGAAAGAATTAACTGTAGCTGTTGTTAACACAAATAAATGAAAGATGAAGTTTCTCGGGAAACATTAAGTGGATTAGTTGTACTTTTTTTTTTTTTTTTAATCCGTGACACCAGGGCATAGAAAGCCAGATGGAGTCGCCGCCGAGGCGGGCTTGGCCGGTGACCGCCTCCCCTCCGATTGTGTTCCCAGGTTCCTTATCGTCAGCCCCCAGGAAATCCAAGCAAACATCTGGGGCGGACCTGTGGCCCCGGCAGGCAGGCCCGGCTCCTTTGGGAGTCACGGCCAAGCTGATCCCTCCCTGCACTGACGTGTATGTGTAGGTGGTTTGTCCTCCAGGCTTCCACTTATTTTTCCTTTGAAGTTTCCTCTTTCCCATGTTTTTCTAACCCGATCCAACTTGCCTTTTTTCCCAGCTTATTGTACCTTCAAAGACTCAGATTGAAACCTTTATGTCAGGCATTGTTACTCGAGATGTTACCTCACCACGTGTCGCTACCACCGACGCCTGGTCAAGGCGCTGGCCTCGGCTGGAGACAGGGCGCAGGTGTGGTGGGAGGGGGGGAGCTGTGTCCTCTCTGTCACAGGACACCTTGCCCTTGATTTTGCCCCCGCCCAAGCCGTGGTTCCCAGACGGACAGGGAGGGATCACGGTCTTGGACCGTATCCCCCAAAGATCACAGTGCTTGTGTACAAGTCACCCTGACTTTACTGAACAAGGACCCCACATCCTAACAGTAGTGATGCTGGGGTTCGGATACGCCACAGGAAGCTCCGAGTGCTTGTTCCGGACGTCAGGAGGTCAACAGCAGCCAAGTCACAGGGCCTCGTCATCCACCTGCCCTCGTCCGCGCTGGGCATCCCACACGAAGACCAGAGAGCACGGAGACCTTTCATCAGGGCCTGCTCTTGGAATTGCTCCATTTTATTATTGTTGTGGTTGATCTCTTACTGTGCTTCATTTATCAACTCCATGTTATCCCAGGTGTCGGAACAAACACGGTATATTCAGGGCTCAGTACCATCCGCGGTCCCGCTCGGGGTCTTGGACCGTATCCCCCAAAGATGAGGGGAGACTACTGCATAAGCCAGCAAGGGAAAAGATGGTTGTAATATCACAAATGTAACGTAGGGGAGTGTTTGCTTAACGCTTTATTGTATATGCACTTAACGCACTAGCTTGGGGCAGCTGGACTTCACTTTCGTCTGCATACGTCGTACCCGGGAATTCCGTTTCTTCCCTGAAGCGTGGAGCTGCGCTCCGGAGATGACTCTGAGCACAGGGTCGGCCCGGGCAGGGAGGAGTCCGTCTGGTTAGTCCCCCCGCCACTCCATGGCTTACCCAGAAGAGCTGCCCGCCGACCCCTCATCCCATGCCCTCAGTGTCAGCCAAGGGACAGGAAAGGAAGTCCTCCTGGTCACCAAGCAGATCTCACCCCCCCCCCCCCCCAGACGAGAGGCACCAGGACTGCAAAGAGGTACTCGCAAGCAAAAGCCTCGCAGGACTGCGGTGGGGCCTGAATTCGACTCTGCCAGGGGGGCCCCACTCTGGCACATGCTGCACAAAGAGGGTGTATAGAGCAGGGTTCAGGGGTCCCATTGGTTAGGGAGTCCCCAGTCAGCGAGGTGAGTGGAGTGGGGGCGGGGTCTCCAGCAGGGTCTTCCTGAGCCTCAGGAAGGTCCGATTCCACACGCGAATGTGAAGTCCGCGAACGGCTGGATTGCGAGACTTTTCTACAACAGGAGTGTCACCCACACATCCCTGTTCTGACCGTGTGACGGAACGTCTGCACACCACCACAAATACCCAGCGTGATCTACTCCGAAGCCTGCTAGAGAATCCGAGCACGTCAAACTAAGATCCTTAATTTAACTGCTGAAATACTCTTCTCAGACCCCTTGACTTGTGGCCAGAGTTAGACCTAGTACCGGTGACGGGGGACACCGAGGACCCAAGAAGCTAGATGCAAACAGGTAGATGTACGACACTCAGCGTCAGCCTGACCGCTCACCTCCATCCGGATCCAGTCCCAGCTCCCTCCTCGGCCTGGGGAAGGTGAGGCGGCGGAAGCCTCCTTCTCCATCTTCCCTGGCATCCAGACACCTGTCTGTGATCATGGCCTTATGATTCTCTGTCTTATGACCATAACAAACCTGTCACTCACAGAATGCCAGTGGATGCACTGCAAACACCTGCACATCCACCGGGAATATCGGTAAGCATTCTAGATGTGACTGGATGACAATCGTGTTTCACATATTGAAGTGACAGGAGCCAGGAAAACCTAAGTGTGTATTTAGCACCGCAGTAGTAAATGCAGTGATCTGATGATGGGGAAGCTGTTTATTCTCTACTCCAAAACAATAAAAACGTCCAAACAACCGACGACGTGAAAAAATAAGTTGGAATTATTAAATATATCAAAATAAAGTACACTGGCCAGCTATTTTTTAAAAGCCTAAGTAATATAAGGCAAAAAACAGGCATGATGTAATCATTCTAATATTTGTGCAATTCTTAGTATATTGCTATCGGTAACATTAAACAAAATAACGTTTAAGTGTTTGCATTTAGGCCTGAGATATTTAAGAAAAACCCACCTGGGAATTTTTGCATCTTGTGAGAAAGAATTTAAAGCAGAATTTCAACTTCTGCTTTGAGAGAATGTTGACTTTCACATTCATCCATTTGGCAAACACATCTATTCAGGCACATCCCACTCAGATGAAGTGCGTACTGTGTGAGCACCTCTGAGCGTCATCCCAACTGCCATCGGAGACCATGACCATGGGGTCCTCTGTCCAGCTGTGCCCCGGAGGCTGCTTACAGGGGGTGTTGTCAGGGGAGTGCTCTGAGACGTGTCCGTCCCTCTTCACCTGCTCTTAGGTGAGGGGCGGGGGAGGTCAATACCCAGAGAAGGCATCCTGGGTCTCCCACCCCTGATAGCATGCCCTACTGCACAGCCTGCTCTTGCCCACACCTCCATTTTTAAAAATATCTGTTAAGAGGATGGGGGTGGGGCGGGGCTCTGGGAAGCTGGCAGGGAACCATCTGCCAGGAACGTGAGCCCTGGGCTCAGAAGACATGGTTGGAAGCCTAGCTCGCTAGCCCAGCAGGAAACGAGGCCCTGCGGGTCCTGTGTCTGCACCTCCTACTCAGGGAGGAACACTTCTCAGGAGTGTGCTGTGAAGTTGCTCACGTGGGTGTTGTACCAGGTACCACCCTGGCGCAAAGTATCTGCTCAGTAAACATTCCCCTGGGGCCCTCAGCCCTGCCTTTGTGGTTCCAGATTTTACATGTCCGGGGAGAAGGGGCTGTAACGTAAGTGCACCAAATCCAAAGGTTTGGAGTTTTCACATCTCTCCTCCTAGGCCTGGCTGGCCACGTCCAGCGCTCCCAGGCCGATCCCGGGGTGCAGCGCAATGTGCTCCCCTGCTCACGTGCCTCTAAACTTCTGGAAGGAGAGACTTGGTCAGAGAGAAACCCGGAGGCAGAGAAAAAGGGCCCTGTAGTTGGCAGCTCCCAGCATCGGCCGGAGGGGTCTGAACAGACTCAGGCGGTGCGCGGGGCGGGCGCGGCGCCTCGGGCCGCGTGGGTTCATCCGAAAGGAAGCAAGGAAGGCGGCGGGCCGCGTGCGCGCGTGGGGACCCCCGCCCGCGGGCGCAGCCACCGCGGAGAAGCGGGTGCCCGGGGAAGAGGAGGCTGCAGGAGGACACTTCCTGCAGCGGGAGGACAGACATCCTGCCGCAGGGCCGGGGCAGTGCCGCCCCCGACCGGGCAGCTGGGCGCGGCCGGCACTGACGTGGCGCTTCAGCCGGAGTCCGGCGGCAAGGCCGCCCCGCAGGACCGGGCTCCCGCCCCGCACCCCGCCGCCGGCGACCCCCCGGGCGAGAAGCGGCGGCGCCCGGCCTGCGGAGGGCGCACGGGGAGGCGGGCGCGCGGGCCGCCAGGTCACCCACCTTTGCGACTCTGCGGGCCGTGTAGAGCCCCATCCCGTCCTGCACTCGGGACGACTTCAGGGAGAACCTGTCCGGCACGTACATGCCCAGCATTCTCCCGCCGCGGGGGGCGGCACATCGAAATTTGGGGTGCCGGCCGAGGGGCAAGGCGGCGGGAAGGAGGAAATGGAGCTTTCCTCCCAGAATCCCCACCTCCCCCGATTCCAGGATCCCCCGCGGCCCGGCCCCTCCTCGCCGCCCTGGCTGGGCCCCAGCCGCCGCCTGTGCTGCCCCGGCGGGGGCGCGGGCAGCGGGCAGGGGCGCCGGGCGCCGCGCGCTGATTGGCCCCGAGGTGGCGGCTCGGACCCGCGCCCCGGCCTCCACCGAGCGCCCCCGCCCTGTCCAGCTCTGGGGCGGAGATTTACTCCCGGGATGCCCAACGGAGTGGGCCTGACACAGCCCCAGCCCGGGCATCCTCCAAACAGCTTTACCCAGAAGGATCCAGAAACACGCATCTTTCAAACAGCTGAGCGAGGCAACTTTGTTGTTTCTTGCTTGTTTGAGGGGATTGAAGTTATAGTTGTTTGAGGGGACCAATTGAAGTATGTTGTTTAACGTACAGAGAAAGAGGGTGTGCACGCCCTGCAACCAACTCATTTCAAGTTAATTCAAAATTTGTCGAGAAATATTTACATGGAGTAGAAATTCCTTTTTTTTTAATGGTGCCAACCCCTGGTTAGTTCTTACACTTCCCAAGATACACTATTCCTGAGCTGTCTCTTGCTTGAAAATCACCCAGACCTAATAGATGTTCACGCAGACCTCCGTGGAGGTGGGGGACGTGGGAGGAATCGGCGAAACCACGGATCCGCGATCACGGCAGTAAAGTCTGCACACCGGTCTTGTTTTAGTGTATGCAATAAAGTTGGTAGGTACTGCAGTGTGCTCAGAAGGAACGTAAAAGGCTGTTTCATCCTTCCAGACGAGCTGGGAGCTTTCTATTCTTTTCTCTTGATATTCTTGGTCATTTTCTATCTGGGATCTTTTCTGGGAAACCATTGATGTTCCCATAAACATGTGATGTTCCTTATAAACCGATAATATAAGAACTTTGGCCAAATGAGAGACTACACTCTTTTAAAAAAATATACAAAATTCAACTGAATATATTTTCAAGATCGCACTGACTTGATTTAACAACCCATGAATAGGGTAGCATCCAATTTGGTGGATAGGACCTCCAGGAAACTTTACAAAATGAAAGACTTTGCAGGCGGAAGGGAGCGGGAAGGAGGTTTAGACAACATAGCAGTTTGGTTCCTTCGAGGTCCTTGCCCTGCAGGGGTGTCGGGTGACCTCACTAGTGCTGATCAGACCACTGGTGATCGGCTGGTGTAAGAGTCCATTTCTGGGAGAGCCGAAAGTGTAAGTGTAGCACCAGTGTGCTTGCGGGGCTTAGCCTAAGTGACTCCATTTTGGGCCTGTCCTCGGGGTTTCACAACGCACACCACGGAAATGTTCCCTCTTCCTTCAGGACCGAGGAAATCCTTGGAACAGTTCCCAATTTCCCAAGTAGAAGGATTTTATTAAAGTTTAGAAAAAGTTTCGTTTTTGAAGCATTGCGAAGAAAAGCAACAATAGCAATGTTTGGAGATTTTAAATAATAGAACAAATGACCCTTCGTACACAAATCTGTTTTTCAGGGAGGTTTGCCAGGCCAGAAGGACAATGCCTTAATCATTCTCCCGAGTTTTGACCTTTTTGACCCACCGCTGAAGATATCATCTAACTTTCTGTGGGAGGACATGAGTCAACACAGAAACACAAAGTTTGTGGGAAATGTGAAATTAGGTGATCTTGAAACATACAGGTTTAATAAATATTCATTAATTAAAAGTGAATTCGGGGGCTGTGCTGAGCTTTGCAGACTACCCAGTGGTATGCTTGGAAAACACTGCTGTGCCTCAAAGGGTCGGGGCTCGGTAGCTTCTCCCCGGGGCCCTTCAACCCAGGGCTAGAGCCAGGCCAGACCAGGTCCACCGGGCCCAGCTGGAACCAGACCAGAGGGATTGTCCCAGGGAATGTCCCTTATCAGAGGACCTGTAGCTCCGGCCCTGAAGCCACCTGGTTCTCAGTCAAATGCTCTGCCATGTGTCTCTGGGCACAGACATGTTCACAGACGTGTTCGCAGACGACCCTGCGCTGGCCCAGCTCCCTGTGGTTGCGTGCTGTGTTCCCGGGGAACAAAGTTGCCATCTGGAGAATGCTCAGCTTTCTGAATGTAGTCTTTTTAAATATTTTTTATTTTTATTTTTTGGAGAGAGAGGAAGGGATCTCTCAGTCCATGGGGCGATGCTCACTCCACTGAGCCACACCGGCCGGGCTTGAATATACTCATCTTTACTAATAAGGGAACAGCACAAAAATAAGTACGTTTGTAAAGATAAATCTGAAAGGAATAAGCTGAGAAACCTTCCAGATCTTTCACAAATCCGCATTAGGGACTTTGCTGGGAAGCCAACAGTGAATTTCATGAAAGCAGGCGAAGTTCTTTTCCTCCATTGGACAGAGCTTGCTGAGGACCCTCCCCCTCGGCCGGGCAGACAGCAATAGAAACAATGTATCACACACACAAACAGGCATGTGTTTGCCAAATCCAAAGGCCCAGAGTGAGCAGCGGGTGGGGCGTGAGCCTGTAGGACGGTGCTGGTGCAATGAGTCATCCCCGAAGACTTGAAAAGCTAGAAGTGACCTTTCAATATTCTCTTTGAAAAATGGGAAATTAAAATCTGCTTTATATCAGGAGTTTCAATCCGGCCTTAAAAAAAAATAAGGAAATCAAAGTATTGACAGGAAAGCTCTGTCATGCTCCTGATCTCCTTCTACGTTTCCTCTTTCTTCTACCCTTGCATTTAGCAGAAGCTTTAAACTGGTATGTCTCAGGCAAGTGCAGTTCCTCAGGGCGAGCGTGGGTGCCGGCGCAGGCCTGTCTCCATGGTAGGAAAGACCTGAGTTATAATTCCACACGAATTAATTATTTTAGCACACGCGGTCGAATTCTTTTGATTGTGTCTGGGTTATCACTGACTCTTTCCAACGGCCCTGCTAGAATGAAAGGCTGATAGAAAGAAACATTGAGGTTTATTTGTCTTTATTTCCCTGAGAGTCAGAAGGATTTGGTAGTGAATGAATAGAAAACCAACCTTCCTGAGCAGAAAAGAGTAACAATTTATTTGGTGGGGGTCACAAAAAGAAAAGAAAAAATCTTTGAAAATAAAATTCAGAGTTGGATGCTGGCTCCGATACCATCTCTCCTTGGCGTGGGTTCCACACAGCGTCCTGCAGCCGCGCCCGATGCCTGAAGTCCGCTCGCTCCGTTTCTCACAACCACTTGATTTGTTTTGTTTTTAATATTTTTTATTGATTTTAGAGAGAGAGGAAGGAAGAGGGAGAGAGATAGAAACATCGATGAGAGAGAACATCAACTGACTGCCTCCTGCACACCCCCCACTGGGGATCGGGCCCACAACCTGGGCATGTGTCCTGACCAGAATCACACTGGCGACCTCTTGGTGCAGGGTCGACGCTCAACCACTGAGCCACACCGGCTGGGCACAACCGCTTGGTGTTTATTGGTGACACCAATCACTCATACGCAGAACCAGGGAAGAACCATAGCTTCCTTTAATTAGAAGAAACCTAGCAGTTTGGGGACTAGCGTGAGTAATGTTATAAAAAGAGAAGCCAAAGCATAAAGCAGTGGTCGCCACACCCCCAAAGTCAACGCTGGCGGTGGAGAGAATATGGAGGGGTAACAGGAAGCTGGGGGACAGTGAGGGCAGGAAACTAACAAGGGTGATCATTTCATGTATGGGGCCTCATATGTTCCAGAAACTAGACAGGGTTCTTTGGGTCCATTATCCTGAAGCCCTAAGGACCCTACCATAACAGCCCTACACAGAACATTTTCTTAGCCCCGTTATCAATCTCAGAGAGGTGATGGATCTCAGGCGCTTTCATCCCCCATGTAGTGGTGAGGTCATTCAGATTAAGGACCGGCTGATGCCCATGTCCTGGATTCGAGGTCCGGCTGACAGACTGGCTCACTTTCCAGAGACACTACCCTGAGGCTTAGCAGAGGCTCTAGAACAGATGGAACTCTCCGGTTCTCTCTCTTTCTCTCTCCATTCCTTTCATCTCCCCTCCCAGCTTTCCTCCAACCCCTCCCCTGAAACTGGGAAGACAATATGATTGGCCAAGGTCATGGTCAGATGCTCCCGCTTGGTCCAATCAGTGGTGTCGAAGAGAAGACCCAGCCATGCGATTCTTCAAGGCTATCCCCTGGATCACCTCTGTCTTCACAGAAAGTTTCCCCGACTCTGGCAGATTCTTTGTGGCCTGTTTATAACCACAGCTTAGCTCAGCCACACATGTTTAATCCACAGAAATGATAATATTAAAAGGAATCGGTAATTAATCAACAAAGCAATACCAATGCTCCTATGTTCGTCAAAACCTCACAATTTGTTTTACTCCCTTTTCCTTTATTAAAATAAAAGGATGACTACAGTGCTCAACTATTATTTTCTTTTTAAGCTTCTTTCTTAACACACCTTTCCAAATGCATAAGGAAGAATCACAGATTAAGTGAGCATGTTTTATAAGCTCTGAAGCTAGGTAGAGAGTAAAAATAATTATTAGTGTAGCAATGCCTTACTAATTATTTACCACAGAGACAGAAACCAACTTGTTCCATAGAAAATGTTATGTCAAATAAATATGAGCTTGAGTGCTGATGTCTTGATGACCTCTCAAAAGAAAGGGGCACATACACAACCAATGACATCATTCCCCATCGAACCGGGGTCTCCCCAAGGCTTCCCCTCTATCAACTGTTTCTTTCTTCTCCTGTTTGGCAGTTCAAAGTTTCACGTAGTATTTCATCATCAGACAGGTAAGCTTCTCACTCCACACGCCTTTGCTAAGTGTGCTGTCATGGGAAATTAGCCTTGCTGGACAATCCTATTTTAGAATTTCTCTCTCTTTTTTCCCATTGTATACAAGTACTATATTAATTCTATATTTTACATCTGAATGAAGAATATCCCTTTGTA